TATATATATATATATATATATATATATATATATATATATATATATATATATATATATATATATATATATATATATATATATATATATATGAGGTCACTACTATCCGTACTTTTCCATTTTTATTTATTTATTAATTTTGTTTTTAATGAAAAATAATGTCGCTATATAAATTATTTAGTGGTTTATGGATAATTTGATATGGGTGGAATATTGAGGAAAGAAGAATGAAAGTATCCAAGAATAGCCTATATTCTTACTCCCCTCCTCTTGGCTCAATTTGAATGTTCAAGTGATTCAAGGTAGATTAATAACCAGTTATTCACAGACTCATTCATTCATTCATATTTTGCGTAAGCTTTTCAAACACGAAAACTCTTGTCTCTGTTCTTAACTGGTATTTCAGAAGTTGTTTGGATCCAAGACTCAGTATCATATTTTCAGTTTTCCTCAGTTTCATCTAAGTCAATAAACTCCAAGCTGTAAATGATTTTTGATGAAATTAAATAAAAAGTTCTATGGCATTTTTGATTAATAAAAGCTATATGGGAGAGATATATGGGAGCTTCCAGGTTATCTCTAAAAGTCAATGGTTTACCGAAGTATGAAGGTCTAGTGATATCTATTGATATGTGCGATGAATTCAAAAATTTAAACATATCTGTCGATAGTACCATAGTGGAAGTAATAATTCCATAAAATATTAATGCAATGTCACGATTATATATATATTTTATTTAAAATGAATAATTATAATTTACGGTTTGAAACTTTTTATGCACAAAGTGTCGCTTGTCCTCCATTTGAATCAAATATGAAAGGAAAAGAGAAATGATGACATGACAAGAAATTCTAGTGAGATGTTAATAAATATTTTTTTAGCTTTTAAAATTAGCGTTTTCACTTTCTTTGGCGAAAAAAATCAAGAAATTAAAACAAAAATCGAGAAATCGACATCAATTATTGTGTTTGCAATAAGGATACAGCTATAATATTTCGATTTGAAGTCTTTAAACGAAGTTGAGAACTACTTTATTACAAAATTTAGGTTCTGTAAAATTTTCAATTCAAAGTTTCATCCTTATTTTTGCTACTCACACATCTCAAATTCCTAAAAAAGAAAACGATTAATTTGAGCAAATTTTTGAAACTGTTTCAGTCTTTGGAAGCAACAAGGCGTATGTTACAATTATGTGAAGAGGTATGTTGTTACATTCGGAGAATGAATTAATTTATATGGAAAAATATCACTGATTGTCATTCTGATGGAATTCAGATATCTGTTCAGTTCATTTAAGCAAATGGTATTTTATTCATTCAGCAATAATTGATTGTCCTAACATTAACTAAAACAGCTGGAATTTATACTTTCCAATAAAAAGTTTTCTTCAGAAAATTTCATTTTGCAAAAAAACCTCGGAATTGAAAGGAATGAAGCAAAGTTGACTAGAGAAAACAATTAAATTTTGTTTATCTTCACCTCATGAAATTATCATATGATTTCAGAGCAAGGAAGCGGGCATTAAAACACTTGTAATGTTGGATGATCAAGGAGGTACTCTTCCAAACACTCCTTCTTTTACAGAAGTCGCTTTTTGCTGTATTTTAATTTCCATCGTTTGCCTTCTTAATTTTAAGTTCTAATATATGATATACGAATTAGAACAGAGTTAGAAGATGAAGAACAATGATATACAAATAGCATCCACATGAGACAGAAAAGACTTCCGTAATTACGATTATACAAATATATATAAAGTAGGAATAATCAGAGATGAAATAATCATTATTATTTCATGTGCAAAACATAATTGCAGAGCAGCTCGAACGTGTTGAAGGCGGTTTAGATACGATAAATCAGGATATGCGCGAAGCGGAAGAGCATCTGAAAGGCATGGAAAAGTGTTGTGGTTTATGCACGCTTCCATGTTTCAAGTTTCTTTTTGGAAAGTTTCCGCTACCAAAATCATGAATAAGAATCTATTTGCTAATTTAGACGTACGAGCAATTTAAAAAGTTATGAAAACTTATCACGCAAATTTCACGCACTATTATCAGTAATACAAAACTTCATAATCATTCCCTTTTCACCAGTTACCTTGTAAGTGACTTTGTTATTTAACGTAAAAAAGTAATTGTTCATTAAACGCACGTATAACTCTTTGAATCATTAAACGAATTTAACAATTCAGATAATTATGCGATATTAAACGTCCACAATTAAACAAATTTGTTTAATTTGCACTGTGGAATGAAATTTGCAATGTTTTATGTTATATTAACAGTTAGTGAAAAGTTTTCAAGTTTCTGTGATCTATTATGACAGTTGTTCATTTACTAAAAGATAAAATAATACAGTTTCACAAGACTTTAGAAATCAACATTGCAGGACAGAAGATTTCGAAAAAAACTCAGAATATGCAAAGGCATGGAAGAAGGATGACGATGGAGGTGTAATTAGTGATCAACCTCGGATAACTGTTGGCGATTCAGGAATGGGTCCTCAGGGTGGATATATCACACGGTTAGTTGACCAATTTATTATGTAATATTTCGTTTAGCCTATAAAAAATTCTTTTTTTTGTATCAGTCATAGAATTCCCTATTAACTGTTGTATTTTATCTCTTTGACATAAATTGCAAAGCGTTTTATTATCTCAATTTTTCCTTTGAGGACTTCCTAAAAATTTCTTCCCAACTAAAGATTTCCGAATACTTTTGAATAAGTATTCACTGGTTTTTTTTCTCATGACGAAAATTTAACATGATGGCATAGCATTTATTCGGACGGACAAACAACCGGTAAGCAAATTAATGACTTAAGTTTAAGATTTCTCGCTTCGTGAATAAAAAGTGAAATTTGAGAATAACAAACGATGCGCGTGAAGATGAAATGGACGAGAATGTTCAGCAAGTATCAACAATGGTTGGTAATTTACGTAATATGGCAATTGATATGAGCACAGAAGTTAGCAATCAAAACAGACAGTTGGATCGTATACATGAGAAGGTACGCTGGTCACTACTACTTTTACATCAATATTTACAACAAACATGCATTCAGGCTTTCCTTAATGGAAATCCTGAAATCCATCAGGAAGAAGTAACTGGATATTATTTGCAGACTCAATCGAATGAAGTGAGAGTGGAGTCAGCTAATAAACGAGCAAATAAACTAATCACTAAGTAACGTAAGTTTGCAAAAAGTTTAAACTTTAAAATTTATTCAATTTATGAAGGTTGTTCGTATTTTAATATCCTGTAAATCGGTGATATCGATTATGATATAGATTCAATTCTTGTGAGAATGTTTTGAAGTGCAGATCTTCCTAGTTACATCGTTTCGAATGAATTGTAAAAGGAATAACAGCTGTGGCTTACTCACTTTCACACACAGAACTTAGAAGAAAGTCTAAATAGAAGCGCTATGGTTTCAAGGATTTCTTATCAATTCGTTACTGTCCATCAGTGTCATCATTGTACACATTCCAGTCACTCTTTGTTGTCTTAAATCTGCATATGTCTATTAATTAATCATTGTCATGAGCTTTGGATAGTCTATGTAACAGACGGTTCTTCTTTATAAAATGATCTTATCGATTAGTAGATACATTCATAATCGGATCAAATGTAAATGAAGTGATTAGGTTGCTTCTATGATTTCTGTGTATTTACCTGTGCTTTCGTTTCAGTAGCATCTTAGCGAAGATTTGTTTTATATTTGAAAAGTGAAAATTGGCATTCTCAGAATATATTATCGAGTCATTTTAAAATAAGATGTAATTCAAAATAAGGAGTATTCCTGTGAGAGGATAAAACGTAATACTTTTTAAAAAGAATTATTATTGTTTCATGTGAAAGATATAGTTGCAATGTAGCATGAAAGTGTTGGGGGCGGCCTGGACGGAATAAACTAGAATTGCGGGAGGGGTGTTTGTCGTCTGACTTTAAACAATCAAGGGAGAGCAGAAAAGTTTGAAGTCAAGATAAAGAAAAAAGATAAAAAAACAGAAACTCAGTTAACTTCCATCCTCTCTCATATTCGTCAACTTAATTACTGTTTCAAGAAAGGATACTCTTTTTTATCGCAGGCACTGAATTTATTTGAAAATTCGGACTAAGAGTTGATTCAAATTAGTTTACCCAAGAAAGAGTGTCTCTCATTTTATGGCATGGTATATTTATGGTATGATCAATACCGCAATGAATGCGGCTTAGAACGTCGTAGCAAAGGTTGATATTGGTAATCGTACTAACAAAAAAGTCGATTGCTTGATAGGCTTGGAAATGTCGAGCGAAGAATAATGTATTAGAATTGTAAATATTATGTTCAATGCAAAATGACCAACCCGTTACATTTGCCTCATAAGTTTCACAACTTTACGATACGGTGACAATAAAATACGAGGTAAAGCTTCCATCCAATTTTTTTTTTGCAGAAGTAGCGGGCGATTAGATACATCGAACTGAATCCTTTAGAGATTGGTGCCACTATAATTTTGTGGTAAAAAGATAAACTGACCACACCGGAGAACTCAACAACTTGCTTAATTAACTAAAAAATTAACTAAAAAAAAAAAAAAAAAATTAAATCATCACATAACAATGGGAGAATTTCATTTGCCGATTTGATTGCCAACATCATTCCCCAAAAAGAGCACTCCAACATCCCTACTGCGCACTGGTTCTCATGAATCATAAAAATGACGGTGCCCCACTTCCGTATTAATGTTGTGTAAATTGAACCCCAACGAAGCGACGTAATATCAGTAAATTTTAGCACCACTCATTCAAGTTCTTTATTTTAAAATAAAGCAGAAAAAATTACTGTAAAAATGTTGTTAAATTAGCACGTTTAAAGAAAAAGAAAAAAACGAAGTAGAAAAATGTTCATGTTTCAACTGCCGATAGAAATACAGAAAATATTGGAGACAAAGAAATTGATATTATGTGCAAGTAAATTCAAAAAGTAAAGTGAATACAAGCACGAACGGAAAAAGTAGATAAAATACGAGAATAGGAACTGTAGTAAAGAACCACACAAAAAGAACACATAAAAACTTACCGCTGACGGTAAACTCACAGAATGAAATCAAAAATAGCCATGAACATCAAATGTCCCCTTCCGAGCTATATATATGCAAGGACATCAAAGTATTAAGCTTTGAAAAAAATTTCGCAAAACCACAATCAGTTGGAAATCTTATGCTTTAGTAAATGTTTGAGAAAAAACACAAAATATTTAAAATGAAAAAATATGTTCAGTAAGAAAGTGTGGAAATACAGCAAAAATGAAAACATAAATCCATAAGGTAAGTGTAGCGCGAAATTTCGCAATTCATTACAGTCAATATAAAAACAATGAAACAGCAGAAACTTACAATCTCAATCCAAAAAAAAAAAGGTAAATACAGCACCAATGCAACATTTTTCCTGTATAGGAGTAAAAATATTTTTTTCCTGTATAAGAGTAACAATATAAGAGTGAAAAATTTTTGAGATTTAGGACTACTTTCTTGTTTTTGACATATCTGCAGCTTGTCAATAAAATTATAATACTAACGAACCACTAAAAAAACTGCAGCGTGTGGGACCAAATTTAAAAACCTCTGTAAGAATCAACTTTAAATAAATTTGTTCTGAATTTCATTCAATTCATCATTAAATTTAATGATATAATTACTATTCCAGTGCGTCCATTGTATCACTGACATCACGTAAAGAAGACGACATCACGTTGTGGAAAGAAAATTGTACAAAATTATTCTGCATTTCATCCAGTTCATCAACCGTATCTAAAGGTCCTGAACGAACTGATGGCGGAGTTAGTTGTACTGGAGCTTGAGTAAATTCCTACAAATAGCCATATATAAAAAGACTAAAGAATGAGATACTGCATATAAATATTCGGAAATGAAACAGTTATTGACTGAAATTTTTCAAAACAACCTATGAAATTCAGTAATTCACCTAAAAAAACTTTAACACCCATGTTTCCTTTACTAAAAATATGTTAGAAGGTTTAATTTCAACAGCAATGGGCTAGGATTAATATTAATATTTCAACTATGTTTAAAGCTGATAAGGAATAAACCTTATCGAAGTAACAGGTATCAGTATCCGACTGCACGTTCGGCCTGAATGGAGGAGCAATTTCTTTCTGGTACAACTTCTCCCAGTCGATATCATTGAAAAATTCATGCTGCATAATTTCCTGCGCGTCTTCTGGTCCTCCGCCAAGTCTAAACTAACTTATTCAAATTTCGCTACATCGAATTAGCACCAAAAAATGAAACTTTAAATTGATTTCCAAAGAAATGACAATGCATCAAAGCAAAAAGGCATTAAACAAAAAGCGATTTGAAAAATTTGCCTCACCTTTGATTCGGATCTTTGACCAACAACCCTGTGAGCAAAGCCCTAGCTGGTACTGTCAACTTCGATGGGAAGCGTATAGTACCGGTAAGGATCAGCTCAAACAATTTTTCATGATCCTTTGAATAAAATGGTAATCGGCCACACATCATTTCGTACATCACAACACCGACACCCCACCAGTCTACCGCACGACCATAGTCATTATCTTCAAGTACCTGTAGATCAGAAAAAAATTTGATTCAGAAAAACAAAAGCGATCCAAAAATGAAATAATAACCTTCTTAAAAACAGAGTGTTATTAGTACTTAAGACTTATGCAAGAACGCTACCTCGGGAGCTAAATATTCTGGTGTGCCACAAAAAGTCCTTGTTCGATCACCGAACGATATATCTTCCTTACATAATCCAAAATCAGCTATCTTTATATGACCATCTTTGTCCAGAAGCAAATTTTCGAGCTAAAACTTGAAAAGCCATATTTAAAATTATTTAAATATTCGATGGGACTTGGAAGTAGCACAGCATCAAAGACAAATACTTTGCAGCTTAAAACAACGCTTAGATATCGGATTTTGAACGACCTGGCATCCATATTTTTTACTGCTGAAACATTTCATCCATTTTCCCATTTTGTATTTGAAAAATAAACGCTGCTCTAAGTTACATGCAGTAAATACACACAAACAAAGAAATCGAGGAAAAAATACACAAAAGCGCAAGGTTCAAATATGTGAATTTCTGAAAAATTTGATTTAAAATGAACAAAATTTTGTTTTGTAAAGAAACTAGAGCAAAAGTTTAAGTGCAATCAGTCAAATATGCTTCTCCAACTCATTTTCTGCAACGTTTGGAAGATACAATGAGCATTTGTTTCAGCCTTTTCTATAACAGCTTCAAACCTTCAAATCCCGATAAATTATGTTGTTGGCGTGCAAATAGCCAACGGCGGAGACGATTTCAGCACCGTAGAATTGAGTTCGTGATTCACTGAATCCTGCTCTTTTCAGCTGTACTTCCTTATTAAGATGATAATAGAGATCGCCGCCAATTGCAAATTCCATGACAAAACAGAGCCGATCATTGGTTTGAAATGAATATCGTAGTTCCTACACAAAACTGCTTTTTCATATTTTCATAAATGGTTCCATTGACAAATTCATCAAAAAATAAAATAAGAAATAAAAAAATAGGAATTTTTCATTTTTTGATGTATACTTTTGGACAGGTACTCAAAAATTTTGGTGAGAAAATATCAAAAACTAGTGAATCAATTTTTAAAAGGATGGGAAAAGTTAAGTTCTCATAAAATTCTCCACGGTTTTGGTATCAAAACGCAAAATTCCGATGGCCAACACGATATCCTTGTTAATTCATAACAAAATACATCATGAGCGAAATTAACCCATTTTACAGCTTCCAAGGGTAACAAACTAAAAAGAATGGAAAATATAAGTTAAAAATACAGACTGTGATATAGTACAGAAATATGCGAAAAATGCTACAAAATTCTTTGACAGAAAATGTATAGTAACACATTTTAAGCATAAAATCTTCAATATTTCTAAAGAAATCTCCATGATCGCATGAGTTAAACAAGCAGAGTAATTAGTGCTTTGAAATTAATTAAGGCATGCAAAAAGTCCCAACAAAAGCTGTTCAAAAAGAAGTGTAAACCTGTATACAACGAACAAATGATTTCTAATTATTTGAAAAACCATTCTTAGGATTAGATTATTCCTCCTCAAATACTCTAAACTTATTGCCCAACATTATCAACAGTTTTCTAAGAGTGCCTGGCTTTTTCAATTAAGATAATTGATCAAATAATTCGAATTACCAAGAATGATAACTTTAACCGATGCACGAAAGTGACAAAATATCGAAAAACAATATTCAGTAAACATCCTTTTAAAAAAAACGAAAAGAAAAGTAAACCTAATAATTAATTCATCTTTCGTTATCAAATACATAAGCCATCGATTTATCTGGCTTAAGTAAATGCCTCGTGTTTGGAAGCTAGATCTCTATGAAACTATACAATACTTTTGCATACATATTACACATACGTAATGTATAAGCAAAAGATACCTACTAGACATTTGATATACAACGTGAACAAAAGCGAGGAAAAGTAAAGCGAGAGGTATTATCCATAAGATTATCGTGAAAAACAAGAAATCAGCATAAGTACTAAAAAGTGGAACGAAATTACAAACAAAAGACCCTTTATACGTCCCAAAAGGATGTGAAGCACTAACCTTCATATCCCTATAAACAATGCATTGTTCATGCAAGTAACCAAGTGCAAGGATAATTTCCGCGCCGTAAAACTGTGTTCTTGTTTCGCTAAAGATCCGATTCTGTTGCAAATGGAAGAATAATTCACCACCATTCGCAAATTCCATCACGAAACACAAATGAAAGGGCGTTTGAAAACTGTACTTCAGCTGCTAAAACAAACAACTACAACACACAAAGAAAAGTACATAACTTTTGCATAGACAAAGAGGATAACATTCTTGCAATACCAAATAGAAATCTCTCCTCGAAATCCCGAAAGAGAAAAAAAAATCCGCTTCTTCAAAATGAATACAAAGGTGAAAGAATCTCCCCTCCTCTTCTCTATGCGGTTTGGAAGAGTCCTGGATATCCTAGAGAAAATTAAATGATTAAAATGACACGAATACGAGAGATATAAAGAAGAGAACGGCGAAATACATCCCAGTTATTTCACCTTCACGTCAAAAACCGCATAATTGATAGATAATTCTATGAAATGAGTTTCTGAGCTGAAAAAACAAAAACCATGAAAAGCAAGCTGAAGACAGTATTGAACACTAATGAATTAAGAATTTCATTCACTAGCAAGAAAAATATAATGACTAATTATTAATACTGAAAGAAAAGAGAACTGCAACGGAAGAGTAGAAGAAAATCCTAATCGGAAATTAATTTCTATGAAATGATTAATTGCCTGTTCAATTCAATATCCAGCTAACAGCCAAATCGTATTTCTGGTCATGCTTAAATCACTTCTTCATGACAAAAATATTTGTGAGTAAAAACTTGCTAGGCAAAATCAAGAAAAAGTGAAACACGAAAACGTACTAAAAAAGTAAAACCTGGAAGCGGCAAAACAGAATCCACAAAAATTTTGAATTATTCCACAATGGGAATATATATTATATGGCCATTGAAACACATCTTAGATAAAAAAATATTTTAGTAAAAAAATGTTCAGACACACTAACAGTTAAAAATGGATGCTTGCATCTCTGTAATACACGGTTCTCCGTTAGAGTATGTGCCACTTCATCCTGAAAATAATGGTACCATCACATTTGCTATGGCTTACGATTCTTTCAGTTATATTTTCTTCATAATAAACATCCAAATAATCACTGTCTACATTCACTTCCTATTACTATATCTTCGAAACCAGCCAAATAAAAGTAAAAACCGAGCAAAACTTTGGAACAGTCACTGCTGCAATTTGAGATAATGCCAGCAAAGTATTTGAAAGACTAGTCGAATAATCTGAATAATGACAGACCTTTTGAATAATAACTTCTTTCTTCAATATTTTGATTGCATAGAGTTTCCTTGTTCGTTGTTCTTTACATAAGATAACTTTACCAAAAGTACCTTTACCCAGTACTTTCAGAAACTCGAAATCTTCTAAGGACTAAAATCAGAAATAGTTGAAAAATTGGTCTACCAATCCGAATAAACTGATACAGTCTTCTTCGCAACAGCTTGCAGCAGATGTAAATTATAAGGAACGTCAAATGTATTTTCTATCAGTAGCTTTGCTGCAAAGTATAGATTGTGCGCACAAAACATTAGTTAGTTAAATACATTTCCCGAATTTTATAAGATTTCCGCTAATAAGCAATATCCTAGCAAAATAATGAGAAACAAGCTGACATGCATATATTCATTACTGATGTCTTTTCTACTGGCACAGAAAAAAAAATTTATTACTGTAGCGCGTATTGTGATAAAGCACGAAATAATGTATCACAATCATTTCTTTTTCCTCCTAAGCAGATGAGATTAACGAGAAAGCTTTTTCGAAAAAATTATCCAAAAATAAAGAAAACTTACAATCTTATCTCTTCGTGCAGCTTCCGCAGCATCAGCCATACTCATTATATCTCGTTCTCCGCTGTTAATCGATATTTTGAGTTGTTCATGCGTAGTTCTTGTCTGACGATTTACTTCTGATAAAATGTTCGATTCCTCCACCATTTCTGTATCCATTTCGGATTCCGACTCCTTCAGTGAATCCGAAACAACCTAAATATTTGGTAAATATGAAGATGGAATGCACGCTAAACTAATAAGTCTTGACAATTACTTTATGCACAACATGAGGGCAAATCGAATAAAAACCTTTATTGCATTAATCCAACCCTCACGCATTTCGGCAGTCTCAGCGTTAAACATTCGCTCAATTACAGTTGTCCACTGCAGACCACGAACTAGGAATGTGTTTGGCTTCGGCCTTTCTACTTTCATCAACTAAAACAAAAAGATTTTTCAGAGTAATTCAACAACTTACATTAAAAATAGGTCTACCAGCTGATGAAATTTTCATTTCAAACTTATATAATGAACGGCATTTAATAATTTGATCAAAGTAAGGGTTAATCTTTATTATTAAATAACAATCTGGAGTTCCAAAAGCAAAATAACAACCTATAACTTCTCACAGTCGCCACTGATAATGTCGTGATAATGAAGTAAATCGTGTACCAGAAGAACAAAAAAAAATTAAGGTTCAAAAAAAGGATGGCCTAAGTACCTGAACATTTTTAACTGTGAAATCATTTAATGGATCGGGAAATGGCTGGTCTGGGTTTGGTTTCGCTCGGAACCCCAATAACGCACCATCTTTGAAAAGAATGAAATATCTGAAAAGCAATAGAAATCATACTTTTAAAACTACAAATAACACAAAGTATTAACTAATATACTCTTACCTTGGTCGCCAATTCTTGATATGTTCGCCTCTTTTCATCAGCCATCCTTCATGTACTGCCTCATCAAGTTTTCGAGATTTAATACTTATGTTCCCAGTAGACATACCACTTTTCCCCTGATGAATATCTTCCTAAACACGTCTTCTCTTAAGCGTATACCATATACAGAGTTGCCTTGAAAAATTATTAAGAAAGTGTGAAAAAATGGAGCATTCCGCTAGCACTGCATGGAGCAAGTACGTAGGAAACACTACCAAGTCATTAATTCAAGATATGAACCGAAGAAGAAAACAATTTCACCATAAATGAATAAGCATTTTAGCTGAAAGTTTTTGAGCAATTCTCGATCAGCCACTTTATCCCATTCTTGCAACGGAACAAAGAGTGATTGAACGGGTGTACTGATCGACTTGTCCGACCTCTTTGGGAGAAACGACCAGGTATGACTAATCACACGACGTCACCCCTGTACAACAAATTCTCCCACCACTAATGAAAACGCTGCATGCAAGCCATGGCCGTCCAATGAGATCAGAATGCAACGTTACGATCCCATCCAGCATTGTGAAAACAAATGTCTGGATCTAGCAAATATTTTTGCAGTACTTTCGATCGCTTCTTCATCTCCTGCATGGAAGATTTCGAGTAAAAGATTCATCTCAGACAGGCTTGTTCCAGTCTACCTTTTACATCTTTCTCTTCCATTTCATGTGTATTTTCGTTTACATTTGCTATATTATAATTTTTTTGTTTACTAAGTTTTTTTAATTTCAAAATTCTTGCATTACATTTGGCTACGTTTCAATATATGTAGGCACAATT